AGGGAAAAATGAAGGGGGGGATATCAGAGGGGGAGACAAACCATGAGAGACTATGGACTCTGAGAAACAAACTGAGGTTTCTAGAGGGGAGGGAGGTGGGGGGATGGGTTAGCCTGGTGATGTGTATTAAAGAGGGCACATATTGAATGGAGCAATGGGTATTATACGCAAACAATGAATCATGGAACACTATATCAAAAACTAATGATGTAATGTATGGTGATTAACATAATATAATAAAAAAAAACCTTGAAATACTCTCAAAAAAAAAACCATTCTGGTTTTTCCTCACAATTTAAAATCAAATAATACTCAATATAAAGGATTACTGAAATTTATCTTTATTTTTCTAGGGAAAAATATAAATGTGGCCAATTCAATGGGGTTAGTGGGAATTGTCCGAAAGGCCTAGAAAACCAGCAGCTGGGAAACTGTTTTGGGCAAAGTGGCTCCCTCTGGTGGAAACAGAATCCTCTCTCTGACAGGACACTGTTGTTCCAGAACCCAGAATGTTCGGCTGTCTCCTGAAGATGTCACAGTGAGGAGAGTCAGCTATTGGTATTTTGATAGACTGTGGCAGGTGGGAAAATTGAAGAAAATTCTAAAACATGACTCGTCAAGTTTGCATGGTTTACATTCCACTAAACTGTTCTAATCGTTGCCCCAAACCCTCTGGGGTAGCAAGCCAGGGGAACCCTGAACAGTGATGTGTTCCCCAAAATATGCACACGTGGGAGTTCACAAGAGTTGCTAAGGGGATGGTATGACATGACTCACAACTTCCCCAAACTTAATCCCAGGGCTCTAGGAATGAAGGGAACGAACAATTCAATACGAAGCTCAGGAGCTGTGAAAGGTCCATGCACCAGAAGAGGTGTGAACTGGGCAGCATGGCCCTGAGCTCATGAATGGACAAAGCCATAATTTCAAAGCAAAAACAGCACTATAGAGCACATCCTGTGCTCCAGACAGCCACTCTCATTGTTTCTAAAGGTCAGTGGGTTTTTAAACTAAATAGTTGGAACCAGAGGAAATCATGATGTTAGTCATTGTTTATTTTACCATATTATCTCCCCACATCTGTGGTCATTTTGTGTTTAGACTAAATGTGTTCATCATTTTTCTGCTATTTCAATTGTATGGGTCTTCTTAATGTGAGAAAACATTACAAATCAGCTTTGCTTTAATACAACTTTTAAAATTATAAATGCTGTGCAATTTGGAAAAAAATTCCTGTAAGGAACGAATCCCCTTGCTACTTCATCCATTTCTCCAATGGAGTAACAGCTGCTCACTCAATATCTATAGTGCCCCTTGGCGCAAAATCCAGTGACATCAAAAATTATACCTGTTACTAAACTTTTAGAGCGCCTACTCACCTATTACAACGTCCCACCTGTCTTGCCCTAGATGGCCATTGGACCCGAGCTCCTGGTTGGCTATCTTCTCTCCATGACATCTATTTCACACTATTCATAAAGGACAAATGCCCTCCCCAGGAAAGATGCTGTCCTTCAGCAGTGTTTTGGGGGGAAGGCAACATGGAGCACCCTGTAACCATTTCTCCCTTGAGAGTTACAACATGTGTTTTCATTTGGGTCAACCAAGAGAAAACCTGCCTCTGACCGAGTGAGATGCGAAAAAATGTACACTGCAGAGACAGACCCCGGGTGTCAGCCCCAATCATGTGCTGTCCCCTCCGATCTCAGGAGAACTCACAGCCTTCACAGCTCAGTCACACGGGGTCAGTGTCGCACACACACATACCTCCTGGCCGGGGCACGGACTGTATGCACTTTGTACACACAGCCCCCACTGACCCTTGTGTGGCCTAGTGTCAGATGGCCAGTGTGGGAAAAGGAAGTTTTGCTGCTTCACCAATAAGCACATTCCAACACTCACCGGACTGTGAATAAATACCACCAATGATTACTCAGTGGCCTGTCCACAGAACAATGATGACCTGGAGGGAATGCTGCCCGAAATGGATTTGTTAGAAGTCTGTTGGGGAGAGAGAGAGACGAAGTGGATCTCCTGAGAGCCTGAGAGGAAGCTATCAGAAAGTCACCTGTCACGTTTGGCAGGACAGGTGTGTTTGATGAAGGATCCACCAGGATGTTATCATATAGCTGTGAGAGGCAGGAATAGGAATGCCAGAAATCAGACCCACAGCAGTTTAATTGTAAAATGTAGGCACTTGAAGCTAAGAAAGTAACTCAAGGACCCTAACCAGCCTCCTAGGTTGAATTAAATTTATAGTTAATTTATTTAACTATATATATATCAGTATTCTGCTGATAATTTTCAGTTTCAATTTTATCAGTAAGCTAGCTCTGACCCCCCCTAAAAATGTTATCAAAAAAGTGTTTGGGCATATAAAAGGGGGGTATTCTAAATACAAGTTTAATCAGCTAACTATAATCCCAGCCTGATGAAATTTTCAAACTCTTTTGTGTTAACATGCTAAACATCTGTATAAATAAACAGTTGGTAGAGTAAATCAACATTTTGCATTAAATTGAAAAGTACAGTTTAGAAATGCTTATTGTATGGAGCCCATATTGAGCCAGGCAAATGGTGATTTGAAAAAGTAGGGAATATCTCCTCCCTTTACAAACACACACACACATACACACACATGATTATTACCAAGGTTACCAGATTTAGCATATAAAAATGCAAAAAAATCCAGTTACATTTGAATTTCAAATAAAAACGAATAATTTAATTTTGTAGTCTTAAGTATGTTTCATGCAACTTGGGAAAAATTATACTAAAATGTTATTCAGTGTTTATCTAAAATTCAAATGTACCTGGCCATACTGAATTTTATCTAGTAATTATACTGATTATTATACATATGTATATATAGACTATCTATAATTTGCATGTTTTTTTGGACATTTTGCCCCTGTGTAGGCAAGACAGAGGTTGTGAGAGAGAGCAAATCTATCGGGTATTCAAGAACCGAGAATTAAGAAACAAACATTCATGAAATTCATGGGGAAAAAGTACCCATTTTCTGCCTAACCATATTTACTTCCTGAAATAGAGAGCTTACTGATATGTTTTAAGATAATACCAGTTAGTGAAAATTGTCTTATCGATACGATAGTCCTGACATTATCCAAGATTCCTGATAACATTCCTTTTACACATTTCATAATTTGGATTCATTAGATCAGCAATTGGGATAGAAAAATTTAGGAGAAAGTTTATATATTTATATATAATACTTATATATTTATCCAAACATCTAGCAAATTAACCTGAACCAATTTCTCATTTGTAAGGTAGGAAAATAATAATACCAAACTCTTAGGATATTGTTGGAATGTTTTAGAAATAAAAAAAGTAGGGGGGCGGAGCAAGATGGCGGAGGAGTAGGAGACCTGGATTTCGCTTGGTCTCAGGAATTCAGCTGAATAGGGATCAAACCATTCTGAACAACTACGAACTCAACAGGAGATCGAAGATGAGAATAGTAACAACACTGAACAGAAAAGCGACCACTTTCTGGAAGGTAGGACGTGCAGAGAAGTGAATCAGAGGCGATATTTGGGAGGATAGACGGTGGGGGAGAGGGCCTCCGTCGGCCGCTTCTGGCAAGTGCTAGAGCCGCGGAGCACAAAATCGGAACGTTTAGAAGTCTGCTCCGCTGAGGGACGTCGCTCCAGTGGCTAAGCGGGGGGTGGAAACCTCGCGGGACAGTGTGGTCTCAGGACCCTCGGGATCACAGAAAGACCGGGGATGCCTGAGTGCGGCAGAGCTCCCAGGTATCGGAGCAGGGAAGCCGGCTGCAGAGACGGAGCCGAGGCGCGGGCTCTCA